AAATATTGGGGGGTATAACATACTATCCTTAAATTACAGAACTCAGAATCTTGGAGTTTTCAAAATGTAGAACATGGGGAAAAATACCCTTTGCATTGCAGAGTTTAAGAAACCTAAATTTCTGGAATCATCCTGTTAGAATTCTTTTAAAAAATTAACTTATATATTCACATAAAAGCCTTAAGTCTTAGTAGCACAAAATATTAGAATTAAGGAATTTGGGGATTATGGAATTGCAGCTGTGACTTTGTAGAACATTAGGAATACTGACGAAGCTAGATGTGTTGGTGCAGAGGTAAAGACAGGCAGATCTCTGTGAGTTCGAGGCCAGCCTGGTCTACAAGTTCCAGGACAGCTAGAACTACACAGTGAGACCCTAAGTCTAAAAAACTAAAATAAATAGAGAAAAGAAAAAAAAAAGAAAAGAAATATGGACAGGTTAACATGTAGAAGCACAGGGTCATGGATAAGCTTGTGGACTCTAACAATTAGCAACCTCAAGCTTAGTGGAGTGTTAGAATATCAATACAGAAACATCGACAGAAGGAACCTCAGAACTGGAGTGTCTGCATCCTGGAACAGCAGAATTAGAGATTCAGAGCTGTCCCTAATTACAGGCTCGTTGGATCTAGGCACTTAGAACCACAGAACGTTACAATCAGTGTCTGTTTGTGAGAGAAGTAGATGTTCAAATCCCAGAATTTGGGAATTACAGGATTTCAGACATAGCCTGGAGGAATTTCATGGTGGGAGGAATGGGGGGGTGTTGCTTGCCTGTCTGCTCCACTCCTGGTCCAGTTGTATTTGTGCCTTTGCATGCACAGGTACACACACGCATGAGCATAGCCTTGGCGACCTCTGCTTACGTCTAGACTACACACTCTAATCTTATAATTCCTACTGACATCTTTTTCTGCCTCTTTTCTCTGCTGTACCGCCCCTCACTACAAATTCCTACCAGCCTTTTCCCCAAAGACAGCTTACTTTCATTTTGCAAATCACCCAGTGTCTTAATTCATCACGTCCGTGCCTCGCAGGGCTAGTCTGTGAATAACATGTTAGTAGCATGAAACTTTGGTTCCTCTGGGACGTGGGAAGGGTCACAAAAGAGAAGGGGCAGAAGAATGTATGTGGCCTGTGGCAGAGATGGCAACAAACAGGTCCTCCTAGAAGCCACACCATCTATCCTTTCTTGGAAGGAGGCGGGAGCCACGGAGGTGGCTGGGAGAACAGCTTGGCCTGTCTAGGTGAAAGGAGACTGGAAACTATAAACCATTTCATGCTTATTTATTTTATGATCCTCGTGGGCTGGGGTTTACACAAATTGAACAACATGTGGATTAGATAATTTGCCAGGGATGAACAGCCTCCGATGGTTATCAGGTTTGGAGGCGATTAAAGCCAGGTTGATGAGGACGCTTTGGTGATGAGTTGATGGTGGAATTCCCGTCAAGGAGACGCGGAGGCTCCTCACCAAGCCATAAATCCCTGCCGGGGATGGCACAGTGGAGGAGGTGGCCACATATCAAGGGAGAAGTAACTTTCAGGATTCTATTACATCGCCGAAAGACAAACTCAAAGCAAACCACAGGCAGCTTCAGAGGTACCCGGATAGTTTAGAAAACACTGGCTTCCTGGTGAGTCAGTCCCAGAGCACTGCTAAAGGACTGGCCAAACCCAAGAGCTTGAGTGTGGATCCTCTGCCTAAGGACAGTGGCATACAGGCTCTCCTCCAGCTTTTTTCCTGGAAGTCTTAGGGCCCTCAGGTTCATCTACAGCACCTCAAGACTCCGTACGGAGAGAGGAATGTGGGCCAGAAATCCCAAGGCATCAGTCAGTATCCTACAGATAAAATGGGGGGGGGGAGGGAAGCAATCCCTTTTTATTTATTTTTATTATTTGCCAATTTCAAATATTTTTCTTGACAAGCCCCTTAGTTTAGAGATTGGAAATCCTCACAGCCAATGAAAGCACAGTGCTCCTTGGCTTCTAAGAATACTATTTCGATGGAGCCGAGAGTTTTCCAAAACTGAAAACACCAGAGAAGCCCAAGACAGAAGGTTCCAGGTGCACAGCGCAGTCTTGCCTATGTGCTGTGTGCCTCCGGGCAAGTCACAGTTCCTCTCTGATCTCTAATAAGCCCACCCACAAGGAGGAAGTCGCATTAAATAATCTCAGTGTGGGAGTGAAGATATTAGAAACAGGAAAAGCACATTTGTCTTTGTTTCCTTTCCACGAGTTGCATTTCAGATCAGCCAGGCTGGAGCTCCTACTTATTTCAGAGGCCGCTCAACCAAAAATTGCTGTTTTCATGGCTCTCACTTTTGATTTCCGATGCTAAACAGAAAAACCACGACCCCAAACTTCCTAGACTGTTGGCTATGGCTGTTGTACACATTTTTTCAGCGGTGTGGGTAGAGCGTAGTGAAACGAGGGACAAACGCCTGCTCAGTTCTGAAAGAAATAAGGAAAGGAACGTGGAAATGAGCACATGACGTAGCTGCTGGGGGATCGAGGGGCCATGCTGTCTGACTCAGTTTCTCTGTCTGTAAAAAGGGAGGAGAGGGAGGAAAAACATTAAGGTTGTCTTCTGCTCCTAAACGCAGTCCCCAGCCAGCCGGGATTCTGGATGGCAGCATTGGGCGACACAGTGCTCCATATACACCTCAGCTCATAGGGGGTCACTGACACTGACTCTGGGGTTAGGAGCGGTGGGGCTGAAGGAAGGGGAATGGCCTTTACACAGGGACAAGGACAGTGTCCCATTTGTGAACAAGCCCCTTTCACTGTAGGCCTAGACGGCTAAAGAGGGGGTGCACAGGGTGAATGGGGTGGTGGAGGGCGCTCTCTGTCACAGTCCCACTGGAAGTCAGTGGGTCTGTCATACCAGCAATGAGGTGCAGGAGAGTTGTGGGGCCGTGGCAGCCCTGACAGACCATGAGCAAGACCTGAGGGGTCCCGGCCCAGCCGCCAGGATGTACATACAGGCAGTGAGGGCTGCCCTACAAGGCTGGCTGACAGGTGCTGCGTGGTGGGCTGACGCCTTGACCTGAAGCCTGGCCTAAAGTCTGTGAAAGCATGAAGTGTCCTTTTGTGGTGATCAAGATGGAGTTTATTCCTGGAACCACTGGATCTTTCTAGAGTTCCAGGTGAGCTTGGCATATGAGGCCGTTTATGATGACAGGCCCCCCTCTCAGTGGATTCAGCTGAAGCACCTCCAGGACAGATCAAACCCATCCACTTCGGCCACGTTTTCTGTTCCATAGCAAGGTACTGGTTCACACAGACAACACATTAGCGCTGCACAGCAGTTCGGTATGGTTACAATAATGGAATAGAAAGAAGCGTGCAGAAAGCAGTATCAGTTCAGAATTTTTTTTTTTTTTAATAACCGCGTAGCTGAGCATAGAAGTTCATGCTGCAATCCCAGCACTTAGTAAACCGAGAGAAGAGAATTACCACAACTTGGAGGCCAATCTAGGTTACATAGTAAACCCTGTCTCAAGTGAAACAGAAAACACAACCCCAGTGCAGCTTCCTGGGTGGCTGCAGGAAGAAACAACCAGTCATTTCAGGGGCACAGCTGCCTGTCTCATTGGAGCAGCAGACCTCCGGACAGGCTGGAGCTAGGAACACAGACATAGCCCTTTGGTTCAGCCTGAAAGCCCTTCTGCTGCTGTAGACTGGCAAGATCCCACCAAGGCAGAACTCATGGGCAGGGGGCTTGTGGAATCTCTTGTCATGGGAGGCAGAGGTTCTCAGAGTCCTTACCCGAATCCATAGGACTTGGGGCTTTTCTCTTGGCGGATGCCACTCAGTGGCAGTTCTTTCTTGTGTTTTATCAGATTTTTCTCTTGCTTCAGGGCCAGCCTGGATGCTTCTTCTTGCGGCTAATCTCCTGGGGCAAGTACACCAGGTATGTTGAGCATGGGAGATGGCCAGTGTTTCCCCACCCCACCCCCCAAGTAGCAGAGGCTTTGGGTGGGGAGGAGACTCAGGAGGGCCCTCTCAGTGTTTGGTGAATAAACACTGAATCAGGTTTCTGGCCTGCCACTCTGTTGCCTTTCAGCACAGGAGAGGCCAGATGGGCCTGGGGGAGTTCCCGGAGCACATGACGAGGCTGGAGCTTTAGAGGGCTGAGGCCCAGGCAGGGCTGGCTCTGTGCAGCCAGTGGAGTCAAGCATTTGCAGGCCCTGGAACTTCACACCTTTGAAAGGCTCCAGAGCGGCTCGCAGGAAAAATAAACGGTTTCTTCCATCCGTGGCAGTTCGGCCATCCTCAGAGGCTGCTCGTCACACATAAGAAACCCTGTAAAAGGGTCCAGTGTTTCCTTTTCCACTCCCTGAAAGGATATGAGCCGGCCTCTTAGGGAGGCTGGGGGGTAGGCTAGAGGCCTTCCCTCCAGAGTCCTTGGTCCAGCCTGATGCCTAGGACATCCAACCTGCTCAGGAATTCAAATACCTGCCTGGTGTGCATGTGAAACTGTTTGGCACATGGGGTTTGCTTCATCAACAGCTTCCTGCTTGCCTGTGCCGCCTCCAACTAGTCAGTGTCTGCAGCAGCTACAGCCACCTGCTCAGTACCCATGTGAGGAGAAGGGCTGACGTGCTCCCCAGTTACTGGCACACAGGGCTCCTCTGTAGGCCTCTCTTCCTCTCATTGATCATCTGTTGCTCCTCCCTATGGGTCCCAGGTCCATCGCCTTGCAAGTAGGATTGGCCATGAGGACAATTACAAGGCAAGGCATTTGCTGAGCTTCATTGTGCCACAGAACCACAAGAGAGCAGATCTCAAGGCATGTCAAAAACCAGCAGAAAGGATGCAAGGATGAGAGAGTCCTGGGGTTATTACTGGCCTGTCTCAAGGAGAGGTGGTTCTGGCAGAAATCCTGGGAGCTTTGGGCATCAGGGAGGACTTCCTGGAGGAGAGTCTGACAGAAATAGGACATTTCTGCCCAGATCTAGTTTGCTGCAAATGCTTGAGGCTCAGTCTGCTGCTGGCTCCTGGAGAGTTGGGAGATGGCCGTGAGAACGTGTGTGTTGTCCTGCTGGGCTTTACAGAGATGGAAAAAGTCATTTCGAAGTAGGAGCCCCTGCATGAATGTTCAGGGGTGTGTGTGGGGGAGTGTGAGTAGGGTGGGGATGGCAAGTCCCCTGTCACAACAGGTATTCAGAGAGGCCGAGGACATGGTGGGAAGTGGGGCTGCCTGAGGGACAGGCTTTGAGGTCCAGGCTTGGGTTCTGGCTTTGCAGTCCACCCCTAGTGGCCAAACCGCAGGTGAAGCTCCTAATATTTCAAAGCCCCACTTTTTAATATTATAGCTTATAATGATATCACATATAAATTACATATTGTCATAATATGTATTTCATAAATAATGCCAGTAAACCCCACTCCAACTTCTTTTGGAGTTTCAGTGAGACAATGTATAGAAAGCACTTAGCCCAGTATTAGAAATTCAGGAAGGGCGTTCCTCATGTTAAAACTAAGATTCTAAGATCTGACAAGTTGAATAGGGATTAGGATCCTATACCTTGAGGATTTTGAAATAATGGAAAGTGATCCCATTTATTTATCACATCACTTTATGATGCTCCTGTGAGGGAAAGCTCCCCTGTGGATGGCATTATCCCAACTTATAAGGACATGTCAGCAGAGAGGAAGGTGAGTAACTAGCTGATAGTCACAGCTAATGAAGGGGCAGCATGGGACAGGACTCGGGTTTCAGAGTCTGTGCAGAAGAAGACTGCAAGTCCCCAAGATGAAACAGCTCTCAGTGTCTAGAACTCCAGAGAGATTGAAATGGTGGGACTTTATTGATCCGTAATGTTACTGATGACCATGATGCTTGTGTGCATGCTTGGGCATATGCATGCCATGCCATGCATGCAGAAGTCAGAAGGACAGCTTTGGAAGCTGGTTCTCTTCCTCCACCTGGGTCCTGAGGCTTGAACTCAAGTCATCAGGCTGTGTGGTAAAGGGCCATTACCTAGTGAGTCGTCTTGCCAGCCCAAATGAGACTTTCAGTAATAATAACAGACGCCCAGCACGAGGTGGCTCTCGATGGTTCTAGGAGACAGCAAACCCTCTGTACAAGGCCTAGTGGTCAACATTTCAGGCTCTGCAGGTTAAAAAACTCCACCACACAATGAATCAACTCTTGAGCCAATACCGAAACAAACAAGTGTGACCAGGTCCCGGTGAAGCTTCCCAATACCAGCAGTGGCAGGTGGATTTAGCCCTTGATCAACACTTCGCCAACCCAGTTCTCTTGACAGCTAGGAGAGTCCTGCTCTGCCGAGCACCCTGGTAAACGCCACCCCCCCCCTTTCAGGAGCCCTGCTGAGCCTCACTAGGGAAGCAGAGGGGTCTGCAGAGGCCAGGACAATTCCCCAGGGTGCAGGGCCTCTGAGTGCGGGCTGTCCCTTTCTGTCCTAGAGAGGCTGTTGAAAAGCCTCCTCTGTAGTGCGCAGCCTCATTACTCCCTGCTGGAAAACAATGTTAATTTTCCCCAAGCGGGAAGCAGCTGCACTTGTGAGGCAGACTCATTTGGCTGCATGAATATTTATGGTCTGTCCCTTAATTAAGCCCAGAAACACAATCCAGCCTGCTAACAGGGGCCACTGCAGACTGGGAGGCCGTGTCAGGAACCAGCCTCTTGAGCCTGTGAAGTAGGGTTGTCAGTGAAACATTTGTTTCTAGAACCACTTGGCCAGGGCCAGTGTCCACAGGCGTGGCGGGGTGGGCATTTCCCGGGAGGTCAAGCACCCTTGTGGTCATGTGCTAGAGGCTGCCTGGTCACCTCGCTGGGCAGGATGGGTAGTTATTGTCCCAGGCCCGCCTGGGGTGGCACACAGGTGACTGCAGGCCAGCACCCTAGTGAGGATGACTCAGGTATTTCCCCACTGGGCCTCATAGGCCACTCCAGGGACAGCTGCCCAGAGAGAAAGGGCCCCAGTGTGGGAGCCAGAACTGGGTTTGATATGGATTCTTCAAAGCAGGGGCTCTCCCGACCTCAGTCCCCACTTTGTTAAAGTGGTAGAAGACTCCTAGCACCATCTACCCCGGTGGCGCTGTCACTGGGGAAAAAACTGAGAGTTAAGGGGGATGGACTCTGAGATTTCCTTTCCTCTAGGCCCCCCTCCCTTAAGCCCACACAGCCAAGGAGAGTTGACCATGCCCAGCCTGGTAACCTTGAGGGTTTCCGGAAGTCATAAATCTTGCCTTTTCTTGCAGGGTCCTATCTTCAGAAAACTACATGGGGCCTCATATCCTCTTCCCCAGAGCCAATAAACCAAGTAAACACCATAAAGCTCCTCACTCACCTGAGCTTTCACCCACCAGCAGAGCCAGTCCATGGTCAAGCTCAGGGCTTCAGGATGTGATTGTCGTGCTGTCCTTGGCTTCTCCCTGTCCTTTCCAGGACGGAGCCAGCCTTTTATTTCTCTCTTCTGTCCTCTTTTTGGTGATTTCTCCTCTGTCACTCCTAAGCAGCATTAGGAGACCCCAGATTGCATCCCCACTCCCTTCTGTGGGGCCCATGTAAAAGGATGCTTTCCCAGGGCGGGTCTGGCCCCAGGGTGGGTCTGGCCCCAGGGTGCGATCATCTCAAGCCTTAGTGACCCACACACCTTGTAAATTCAAAAGTCAACAAGACTTGGAAGTGGAGGAGACCCTTCAGCTGAGGAGGAAGTAGAGGGCAGTGGGCCTTGCCTGAGAAGTTGGTCAAGGGCTCCTTCATCGCCCTCTGCCCCAGCCCCTAGCTAGGCTACCCCACCCCTGGAGTCCTGGGACTTCCTGATCTCTTACTTTCATATCCTGTCCTCAAATCTGTTCCAGCAACAGCTTGGATGTGGAAGTGGCCTTCAAAGCCACCTGTCCCATATGCTCCCACCACCCATGGGGAGGCTGCAAGAATGGGGAGTGCCTTGCTCAAGGTCAATGTTAGAGAAGATAAAGTGGAAACAGCCTGGGCTGCAGTCGGGAGGCCCAGCCTTGGCTCAGTGCAGCCTTACCTTCTCCAGAGGTCCAAGCCGGTATGGGAGGGACTAGAGCTTCTGATAGCACATTGCATCTGTGGGACCACTCACTGCTATTGGTGTTCAAAACACCATCTTCCCAGAAGAACAAAGCTGGCCCCTACCAGTTTGGGTATCTGTTGCAATGGGCCCCTAAGGACACTTAGTAAAGCTGTCATTTACTTGTAAGGGCTTGAACGTTAGGTGGGGATTATGCTCTACCCCTCACACGCACATTAGCCTGTCCCCTCAGTTTCTTGAAGATGAAATGAGACTCTGACTGTGAAAGTATTTTATTAGGCAGATGTGTTTACATATGAGCGAGTGAGTGCTGAGTGGTGCCTATTATTTTTCTTCTCGTCTGATGCTTGCTGTGCTTTCTGCCTAGCCAGAAGGACCAGCTGTCCTCTGGAGACCTGGGACTTAGGTGCAAGGTCTACCAGCTCCAAAGGGCTAAAAGGAGGCTCAGGAGCTCAGCGAGGGGCACTCGGAGTCAGGCTCAAGGCCCTTTGTCCTTGTCTAGTCTCAGCTTGTGGCTAGAACAGTAGCATGCGGGATTAACCAGCTCCATGGTGTGATAGGTGAGTCCAGGCACCAGGCACCATACTAGGCTTGTGTCTCTCTGCAGTTCTGCAGGGGCCCCAATTTCTGCCCAGGAGGACCCTGGATGCTCTACTGGGTGCTATCACAGCTAGGTCCCAATCTCTAAATACTTTCCTTCCAATTCTAGTAGCACCTTCACTTTGGGGAGGAAAATTTCATCTACATAGTTTTGAATCATTTGGCATGAGAGCCGTCACAATCACAAAACTTGGTCACAACCATGAGGGGTTGTGGCCAGTGGGGAATCTTAACCACCTTCTGGAGTGTTTTTCTTCTGGGTGAAGGAGACAGGGAC